ATCTGCCCAATATCTGATTTAATCTTCACAACAGCCCTAATCAGAGGTATTTATACTCTCATTTAGAAGTTCAGAAAGGCTAGGCAACTTGTTCAAGGTCACATAAGCAGAAGTAGGTATCAGACTAGACCTTTGGCCTCTCAGCCACTAAATGACAGCAGTGTATGTGCAGAGGCCTATCATCTCCTTCACCTGCAGGCAGCATTCTCACACAGGCCTCACCAGATCACCTGACACTCCTTGTAAGTGTAAACAAGTCTATACAATGTGACTCACAAGATGGCTCCCTCTAGGGACAATTCTGTGTTCCTATCTCATCCAAATCGGACTCAGCCCTATGGGTGAGTGTGTGGGTGGGTAGGTAGGTGGCTGGGTACCTTGACCTGTGGGACCTATAAATGGCAAGGGACTTGGTTAACAAAATGTAAAGGAAAATGACATGTCACATCTATGCCAAGTGTTGGGGGGGTGCAGCTCAGCTTATGCTTCTCTATGCCCCTCTTTTTCTGCTTCCACAAAGCCGTGTCCCCAAGAAAGGCAGTGTGTAAACAAGGGAGGTGGCTTGTGTTTCTCATACATCCTCCTCTTAGAAGGAAAAAGCAGGGACATCCTCATCAAACCATTAGAGTAAAATTCCACTTGTGCCTTTTGAAAATGATCTCAGGACAACTAACTTATCTCTGATATGCTGGCCCCGCCGGCTTCCTGCCTGCCAATGTCATCCCATCACAAGCTTTGGAAATGCCCAAGGAAAGGCATGCCAATTAACATATGGCTCTGAGTCATCCCCCAATCTGTGGGGAAGGAGTGCTTGGCCTCTCTCCTCCCCTCCAGGGGCATGAGTTCCCACCAGCTGCAGCCACAACTGGAGACTGTGGCCTCAGGTGCCATCTGGGCACAGTGTGAAGCAATAAAGACCAACAAAAGGAAGCTCTGAGCAGTGTAGCCAATTACCACCTTTCTGCCTGAGACCATCCATGAAAGCCAAGCGGCCCTCCTAAGCAATCTGTGCTCTCTGTGCCGCTAGCCAACACTGTCTTCTGGGGAAGAATGGCGACTGAGGGCAGGAGCTGCGTGCTTCAGACTGAGTACAAGAGCCCTCTGCACGGAGAAACAGGCAGGAGAGAAAGCTGACTCTGTTCTGTCATCAAAGGAGGAAGTCAGGGGGGACATGGTCACCTCACCTGCAGTGACTGGGTGGTGGGTCAGTTGCCGAAGTGTCTTTATTCTATTTGCTCTTTTTTCATCATTCTTCCTGTCTTTCATCTGGGCCATCACTCTTTGTTTCATTTATTTCGCAATACATTCATTCCTGGGCTTACTCATCCAGCAGGAGGTCTGGGCATTCCATCCAGGAGGATGGAGGGAGGAGCTGTGGGAGAGGATGGAGCTAGGGTTCCAGCTGAGCCTCCTGCTAGGTGGCAAAGTCTTCTGTTCTAGAATCCGGGATTTGGAAGAGAAAACAAAACATGTTTCCACCGAAGATATAATCCCAACCTACCCCATTTTGACAGAAACCCTGGCTTAGAGCTGTGTATAGGTAGGGAGGGACCAAGGCCCTTCTGTGAGCTCCTGTGAGCACATCCTGTTTGGTAGGAGGTGTAGCCCACAGGGACATGTACTGCTCAGACCTGGCTGAAAGGTTTGGCTTGAGAAGGGAGTGGTCTCCAGCTGTGAAGGTCTTCATACCTCCCTTGCTTTCATATCTAGGCCATTGTGTTACTGGGCAGCTGTGACCAAGGCCAGAGGAGGCCATGGCCTGGCCACTGCTGCCCAAGTCTCTTCTCTTGGGGGTCTGCATCCAGATCTGAGGGCTCCCCTTCCCAGGCCTGCTCTCTTCCCTTGCTTCCTGAATGAGTCACCCCCTTGTAGACCTTTCGGGCCTCTTTGTCCACCTCAGCACCTGCCTCCTGAAGAGCCAAGCCGGCCCAGGAGGAGGTGAGAGGGGGAAGGAAGAAACAAGAGGCTCTTTTTTGCCAAGAGCTCTAGAGTTCGAGAGTGGGTGCTGTTGCTGGCCATGAAGTGTTTTTTGTTGGTCAAGGATGTGATGACGTCACTGAAGGAACAGTCCTGTCATATTTTTACACCTCTGGCCTGAAGCAGGACTCTAGGCTGGTAGGAAAGATCAGCACGAGTCTTGTGACGCTTCAAGATCTGGACAGAGTGGACAGGGTCACACTGCTCTGTGAGAATTAGTATCAACATGAAAATGGTTCCCGAGAGTTCCAGGTCCTAAAGGATTATTGGTGACTGGGGCCTTGCTGAGGCAGTAGAGAGCAACGTGGCTTGACCGCAAGCATGTGGATCTTGGAAGGCTGTATGGAGGAATGGGGTGGCGGGGAGATGTGTTGGAACATGGTCCAAGAATGGAGTCTTATGAACTCAGTTTCTTCAAAAACATGGAATTGTTCTTGGATTTTGCTTTCATGCTCCTCCTGATTGTAGTGGATAGGAGTGAGTTTACTTTAGATTATTCATTAAAACTGGCTATTGTTATTTGTTTATATGTCTCTATGGAAAACCATGTTTTTGCCACGTGTGACTTGTCCTTGTAATTGTACACTTTACTCAGGTGACTCTTCTTAACCCTTACTGCATGAGACTTTAGCTCCCCTCATTTTTAGGCTCCATTCTCCCAGGTTCCACTGCCTCTAGAGCAGTAAACAGAGGTGTTGATATGTGATCTGTGCTTTGATAAGGAGCTTCAGGATATAATACAAACCAGAGCCTGTGGCCTGCCTTCTGCACGCATGTTTAGACATAGACCAAGCTATCACCAAGGCTTCTTTAGGACATCAACAAAAGAATCAGGTTCTGGATAAAGTAATCGGAAAAGAGAGTTTCTCAATGGGAGGCCATTGAGAAGCTGAGGCAGAAGCAGGCAGAAGAAAACTAGCTCCCATATGGTAAGAGCCCTTCCACAGTCCCACCAGGGCATGGGTGTGGAAATGAGTGTACCATTTCTAGTGTCATCGTTTCTGTGTTCATGGTTCAGTTTCTAAAGAGGGATACAGTATCTTGCCAGGCAGGGTAGGTGTAGTGCCTTGATGGACAGTCCTGGTGCTCTGTAGGGGCCAGAGAATGATCTACAGCTGCCAGACTTCCCATTTGAATGAGTGAGTTTATTAACTACATAGCAAGCAAAAGTAAATAAAATAAAATAAATAGTCAGTGATAAATAGATAGAAAAATATCATCAAATCAGGGGCTTGCAAGCATCTGTCAGAAACCGACCAGGAAAGCCCAATTAAGGCAGCCAGATAGAGGGCCCAATCAAGGTAGAAGAGCAGAATGTCCTGGTGAGGCTTCCATGTAAAATGACAAATAGCACCACAGAGAGACAATGTTATCAAATTGGGTGCACACAATACCCAACAGAGACTGACTGGGGAAGTTGAGGCAGTCAACTGGAGTTCTCAGTGAAGCTTTCTCTTGGTAGATGAGCTTCTCATGGTTGAACTCCCAGATTCTTTTTCCCACTGGAGGCTCCCCCCACCCCCACCCCGAGACAGGGTTTCTCTGTGTAGTTTTGTTGCCTGGTCCTGGATCTAGCTCTGTAGGCCAGGCTGGTCTTGAACTCACAGAGATCCTCCTGGCTCTGCCTCCTGAGTGCTGGGGTTAAAGGCATGTGCCATTGCCGCCCAGCACTGGAGGCTCTTTTATTTCATGGGGTAAACAATTGCAACCTCTGTGGTTTGCCTTCTAACTGTATTCATGGCTGTGATGTTTTTACCCTTTGGGATAGTTTTGTTTTGTTTTGTTCCTTCCCTGTCATGGGGGGACAGGGCCCAGAGCATGCTCAGACAAGGATGACACTTTGAGACAAACATACTTGGGTCTGAAGTGACCCTGCTTCCAGAGCCAACCTCCCGGTGAACTAAATCAACACATGATAACTTACCCAACTCATGTATAATTTGACAAGGCAAAGTGCATTTCAAGATTTAAAAAAAAAAAAAAAAAAAAAAAAGGAGTAAGAGAATACAAGATCCCAGCTAAAGGAGGGCTTGTCACCTATGAAGCCAGGAACCACCATCATCCCGTCTGGTACACAGGTTCAGGGAAGGGAGGATAGACAACAGGCAGTTCTGGGTGCAGACAAGGACAGAAGCTAGATGCTGGGAGCTGATGATCAAATGGAGGAGAGAAGATGTGGGCAGAGCCCTCCTTTGAAAAGCATAGATTAGAAGAGGAGGTGAGGATGTGCTTAAAGAGGTTTCTGGTAAAGGGAAGATTGTCCCCCCTAAGATAGGAGAGACTTGAGCCTCTTTATGAGCTGAGAGATCAGGAAAGATGAAGATATACCAGAAATGGTCACAGCAGACAGAGGACAGGGCCGAGAGGAAGGCAGAAGGCCTGGGCCAGTGCTGTCCTTTGAACTCAGTCTTTGCCCTTCTAGTGTATCCTAGCTGCTAGGGATGGATTGCAGGGGCAAGGGGGATGACTGAGCAGATTAGCATACCTGCTGTTCTTCTGGTGGGATTCCTAGCACCCATGATAGGTGGCTCACAACCACCTATGACTCCAGCTCACAGCAACGACCCAACACTTCCTTCTGAGCTACGAGGGCACCTGCACTCATGTGTTCATAGGCGCACATTTTTAGAAGATGGATTGTGAGTTAATTTCTTGCTTTCTAGTCTCTTTTACTTTAACTTCTGTGGTGGTTAACTTTGCAGGTCAAGTTTACTTGAATAAAGGATAGCCAGAGAGTAGGTAAAACATTCTTTGTGAGTGAAATGAGGGTGAGGCTGCTTTCAGAGGAGACTGGCATTTGAATCAGCGACCTTCTTCCCTTCCTCCCGGCTCCCTGCCTCACTTCCTCTCTCCTTCCTGGAATTGAGCTGGGACATCCACGTTTTCTTCTTCTCCTGCCTTCAGACTCTGAAGCTCATCCTAGTATTCTTGCTGCCCCTCCCCCATCTGCTGCCTACCCCCATCATCTGCTCCCCACCCCCATCTGCTCCCCACCCCCACCTGTTATCTACATCCTCTCTGGCTCTCAGGCTTTCAAACTCAGACTAAATTCCACTAGTTTTCCTGTCTCTCCAACTAGCGGAAGATCGACAGATTGTAAGACTTCACAGCTTCCATAGTCACGGGAGCCAGTTCCCATAATAGATCCCTCTTCTATAGCTCCAGAAATCAGATTGGGTCTGATCCGCTAGAGAACTTTGTGTAATCCAACTTGACCTTAAAGTCAAGAACCGTGACTTTGTAAGTACAAAAGATGAAGAGACACCATGACCACAGCAACTCTTATAAGGGAAATACATTTAACTGGGGTGGCTTACAGTTCAGAGCTTTAGTCCATTATCATCATGGCAGGACATGGTGGCATGCAGGCAGACATGGTACTGCAGAAGGAGCTGAGAGTCCTACATCTTGATCTGAAGACAACAGAAAGTGAACTGAGACGCTGGGCAATATCTTGAGTATAAGAGATCTCAAATCCCACCCTCACAGTGACATACTTCTTCCAACAAGGCCTACTTCAACAAGGCCACACCTCCTAATAGTGTTATTCCCTATGAGCTTATTGGGGGCCAATTACATTCAAACTACCACAACTGCATAGGGAGTCAAAAGACCAGAATTCTCACTTGGATTTGTACTATGGGATTGTTCCAGACTGGCAGTTACCAAGTTCAGTGAATTGGTCAACTTAAGGTTCAGTTTTCTTGTAAGACGTCACAAGGCAGGAAGTTCAGAGTTGGTGCAGCTGCTCATGATGACTTCGTTGGCCCACTCCTCCATCCTTAGCAGAGAGCTTTAGATGTTCTGTTCATCACCACGTAGATTTAAGATGGATGTCTGGCCTCCAGGATCATATCCACATTCCATGGCCAAAGAAATAGTTAGGCATCCTGTATTTGGAAAGCAAAGCCTTCCTAATTGACCCAAGCCAAGTCCAGTTTGCCTCTCCTGGCCACTTTCAGCTACACGAGGGCTGCCACTCTAAACTGAAGGAGGTTGTCATTGCATCTGGCTTCTCTAGTTCTTGCCTTCCTCTAACAGTATCGGGGCTTCCATTGGGGATACACCTCCCCGCCCCCACCCCACCTCTGCCACATGGGTCTCAGAAGGAGAGTAAAGTAGACATCTTTCACTCAACATCCAAAGCCAAACACCTTCCCCAGATGATGGAGTGGATCCCAACATCAGCCAATCAGAGGGCCTCTCTCAGGATTTGCTCCCATGTGTGAATGCGACCAGGCCAGAAGAAGCATCTGGAGTTTTATCCTCTATCCTGGCTGCACATCCCAATTAGGCCTTTCCCACTTAGGGCTCATTTTCTAAAGGTTCATAATTCCAGCTTTTCAGAGCTGCTTCCTCCCACCTCTTTCTCAGTCCAGATTGCCAGTCTGCCTGTAACTTCTGAAGGGCCATCCCAATACAGAAGAGAGTATTTCTGCTGCATATAACACACAAGCAAAAATCCAACTGACACATGAATGCCATCCCTGGCCATCTGTGTGTGACCTTGAGAAAATCACCTTCTGTCATAGGGCAGTGGTGTTTATCTCCAAATGATGGGTTTGTCACAAAGTGTCTTCTTTTCTCAGTGATGACTGTGGTTTTGATCACTTACAGGTGACTGTTTTGGTACCAAGGGGGTCCAAAGGAACATCAAAGTCTGGATGCGGGTTTCAGCAGAGGCTCCATTAGGAAAGCTAATTCAGAAATGTGGTGCTGCTGAGACTGGAACAATTCTTTGGGACAGTTAAGTCTAGGGAGACCCTCTTGACTTTGAGTGGTACCAGAATCCAAGGCTTCCAGGGATAACCATGCACTAGTTGGTGTCTTCCTGCCTTACTTGCAACACAGTCGTTTTAGCTGTGTTTGGTTGAAGCGCCTGGATTACACCCATGAGGGAGCATGCGCTGTCCACGGGAGGGCTTCCTCCTCAGCTGACTTACGTTATAAAGCCTTAGAAAAGCTCAGCGTGGAAGGAGAGAGCTGCCTCTGTAAACTCAGAGTCTGCACCTTCAAGGAAAAATTATTTTGTTAGGACAGCAGAGCAGCCTCAGTCTGGCCTTACATTCTAGAAAAAAGCTCATTTCTCGGCTGCATTTAATAATCCATGAAACATTTCTATTAGCTTTGGTGTGAACTGTGCGATTGCTGGAGTAAAAACAAAGTGAGAAGCAGAAATACAAAATATGCAAAAAATAAAAAATAAAAATAAGTGAGATCCTAAATATTTGATCAAGGCCTCTATTTCCAGGTAACCAGTTCACCAACAGAAGCCACAGAATACCATGCTGAATTATTCAAATGGCTGGGGGAACCTTTTTATTTCTCTTTACCACCTTTAAATGAGTATGCAGCCTTCCAAGCTAACCTTTACTTAAATATTTAACACAGACACTGGGTCAAATATAAAATAGCAAAATTTCTCACTCAAAAACTCCAGCTGTAATTATGAATCAGACTGTAGAATGTAGCTCGGCCTCTTCGCCTTCCCTTTGTGCTCCAACAAATTCTTCTAGTGTGGGAAGAACCTGGTTCACATTAGTTGAAAGTCTGAATTTTAGAATGACTTTTATGTTTGTGCTTATCCACGATATAGTTTTTTAATTTCATTTACTCAGTTCAACTCATTCAGCCCTTCATTCGTTCAACACATACTTTTCGAATACTTGCTGGGTCCCAGGCACTGTCCTAGATGGTGAGAATACATCAGGAAGAGTCAGCTCCTCTTGACTGTGTACTAAAATGAGAGAGACAGATTAAAAGGGAGAAATGTACTCCAAGGGTGAGCAAAAAAAAAAAATATTGTGAAAGAAATGGTGTATAGAAGTATTCCCTGTTTTGAGGGCAGCTTGGTTGAATGGAAAGCTAAGGAGTTGGGTGGTAACCTTGAGAATGTGAGGAGCATATCCCATCAGTGGGAGGAGCATATCCCAGCCGTGAGTGAGAAGTGCTGTGCTGGTGTGGACAGAGCCAGAGTGCCTGTTAATGTCACTCTTTACGACATGACTGACTACATGTCTGACACGGACAATTTAAGGGAGAAAAGATCTACTTTGGTCCATGGTTCGAAGGGTCAAGGCCAGTGAGTGTGTGTGGTGGGGGAGGCATGGTGGTCGAAGCAGATCATGGTGAGGACTTGTGGTGTGGCTTTGTTCATAGCTTGCCAGGTCAAGAAAACAGGGAGGCTCAGAAGCTGGTGACTATAGTAGTCAATGCCTGCCCCTCATGGTGTGTCCGTCAGCTAAACACCATGTTCTAAAATTTCCATAGCCTACCAAAAAGACACAAAGTAGGGATCAAGTACCCAAAACATAAGTGCATGGGGGACATTTAGCATTAATCCCCCCCCCCCCACACACACACACAGCGTCCAAGGAAGAAGAGCAAAAACAAGGAGACTGAAGATTAGGAAGGGCCAATGTACATGGCAGAATTTATGAGTGCCTTGTGGCCCATGAGGAAGACTTGTGATTTTGGGCCTAATTGTGATGGAAACCAGTAAGGGCTTCTGTGTGGTGTGGACTGATTCAGGGTTTGAAAGGATCAGTCTCGCTCACAGAGAGGCTTTCTAGTGGAGGCCTGCTTCAATAGCCATAAAAGAAAGACTTGGCTTGAATGTCACCTGTCTGGTCTTTGGTTCTAAGACAGCACCCACCTTCTGAAGTACTTGCAGTGGTTGAAAAGGCTGCCATCTTTGGTCATTTTAAAAAGTCCACCAATCTCCTTTCACACATTCTATTTTTTATCTAACCAAAGCTTGCTCTTTCTGAATGAGGGCTTAGAAGACAAGTTAAGAAGGGCCTCATGCAAGTGCAGTGGTCCCACACACAGTTCTTCTGAGGATCAGTTCTTCAGAAGGTCCTCAGAACACAGCCTAAGACTGTCACTCTCAGCTAGTTATACAACGATGGCCACCCAAAGAACTCCGACAGAGGGACACAGCCTCAGAACCTTTGGGTGACAGAAGACAAGATTGGGGCAGAGTTATACAATTGTTATAACTGCTGTTCTCGTGTTGGTAACCAGAATTGTATGACTAGAAATCATTTCCAAACTGTCAGCTGGTTTCTGCTCCGTGGGGACCTGCCTCCTGCAGATTCCCTTGGGTGGGATAACCTAAGCCATGGTCTGCCTACTGCTTTCTAGAACGTTCCTTCAAGATGACACTCTAATTCTAATCACCTGTTACACAGGCGTGCTGGCCTTGCACTGCCTCCTCACTAAGCACTCCCTGCCTGCCCTCTATGCTATCCTTCTTAGTTGGATTCTTTCACCTCGTGAGTAAACCATGTTCACGCAGCTGCTCATACTGTGGTCTGCTTATGAGAGACTCAGACAGACACATCTTCTACATCAAATCCCTGCTCTCTCTGGGATTCAGTTCCTAGACATCTTCCTTTAGTGAATAGAGTGGTAGAGAAACTAAATTTGCCCATAAGCTCCCATTACACTTATGATCTAGTAGCCAGCTGTGACCATAGTCAAGGGACCCAGTTATTCCCCTTCAGAATGCCCAGACTGGATTTCTCAGGCCTGCCTGCCTCTCCCCAGTATGTTCGCTAAAGCCTGGCTGTTATGTGAGAGTCTTACCGTCTTCCAAAAGCACACACCACCACTTCTTGTCCATGAAGCCAGCGTCCTCCTCAGGCAGGCCCTCGTCTCCACTGGCACAGGGTAGAATGCCTGCTCAGCAGGAGTCTTCATTGTTCAAGCTTTCCTCTAGCTGGATCTGTTTAGTCTCTGCCTCCCCAGCTCCAGGTCCTGACTCAGAAAGACATGGCCCTTGATTAATTTATGGCAGGAACCAACCTGTAGTAGCATATGCTGCATAGAGTCACAAACATCTTTGTGATAAACTTGTAATAGAGCGCACCCGCTCTGCTGGCACACAGGCTTACCTCAGTAAGAGAATATCCAAAGGACACTGCACACTCAGCTATGATGCCCCTTAGCCATCCAAATCGAGTGTGTTACAAGAGAAGAAAACTGAAACCTCAGTAGGTAAAGCTGCTTGCTCAAGGTCACCTTCTAGAGACACATTGTACCCCAAGTCTTGAGATGAGACCTAGAGGGCATGGTGTCAACTACCCGATGGAGGTACCCTTTTTCTGGGTACTTAGTGGGGGCCACCTGTGTGCCCATCTACTGATTAAAGACAAAGGTGTGGCCCTTCCTAAGAGCCTGGGAGGATTGTCAGGGGCTGGGGACAGAAAGAGGGTCCAGAGCCAGCTTCATAAAGCACTCCTCACACCCAGGGGTTGATTTGTCACTGTGGTTAGGAAAAGGAGGATATTAAATGTTCAGCAGTCACAAAGCCTGACATCATCTGGATGGCATCATTTATTATATATTTTTTTTCACACTCTCCCTCCTTGAGGATTGACAGATGCCAGTGAGCTTGATCTTAAAGACTCCTCCCTCCAATATCCTTGTGAGTTTTGGGCAGGTATAGAGGGTGTTATGGGGAAGCTGAAAAGCTACACTGTATTAGCAAAGCAAATTAAGGTCCTAAATTATACAAAGACCTCAGGGAGTAAGACCTGATCTCTAAGGATTTGGTTGTAATTTCTTAGTATGAATGAATATACTCACTAGAAAGGCCCAATTGTATTTCTTTTCTAAAGTAGCTCTCATTTTCCCATCCCCCAAACTGTGTCAGCTTAAGGACCCCATCCCCCCAGCCTTCACCCTCACCAGGGCAGAGCTGGAGAATAGAGGTGTAAATGTGTCAGGAGGGACGCAAGGGCGCCGGAAGAGAGTAAATCCTCAACCAACACGGCAGAAAGTCAATAGATAAATCAAGAAATCGCTATGTAAGCTCTTTTTTTCTTTTTCTTTTCTTTCTTTTTTTTTCTTTTTGCGACAAGAAGTGACCATCAAAAGAAAAGAAGGGACTGATGAAAAGGGGCTGTGGGTGGAGCCGAGCAAGAGGGGCCTGTTGCTTTCATTATAAGTAGTTATTTTACACTTTAAGAACTGTTCATACATGGCTTGATATATTTTTAATTCAGACGTTTTAAAAAGAATGTAAAGGTATCTAAAAGAAATAAACGGAACACAAAACCGAAAAATAAAAACAAGCACGAAGCAGTAAGGCCAATGGTTGCAACCGACTGGATACCTGAAGAGCGGGGGCGGGGCACTGGGCGTGGCCTTAGACCAGGGAGAGGGGCGGGGCTCCACTGGACCCGCCCTCGGGGAGGGGGCAAGGCTACCTACTCTCTCGGGCTCCGCCCACAGCGGGAAGCGGGGAGCTCAAGGTCAAGTTCACTCTAGGCCCCGCCCCCAGCCCGGGTCAAAGCGAGTAACCTGGTCCCCACCCTGGTTGAGCAGCAGGTCCGCGGTCCCTGTTGGACCCCCGAGGTTCAGGTGCCGCTGTGGAGCCGAGCGACGCGCAGGTAAGCACAGCCAGCGGCCTTGGCTGCCTGCTTCTGCCCGCGTGAGTGCCCACGAGGCCCCGGATCCCGCGTTCCTCCCGGGCCCACGTGACTCGCGACGGCGGCGGCGGCGGCGGCGGCGGCGGCGACTCGGGCGCGCGCGCGCACAAGGGCGTCAGGTAGCTGCGGAGCGCAGCCCCAGGGTCACGTTTCCGACCCACAGGATCGGGCTGACACGGGTTCGGATCCCTACTGCAGCGTGTGGGACAGTCAGTTAAAAAATAAGCGTGTAACAATTACGTTGTGTTATGCGGTATTCGCCTTCCATGGGCCTAAGTACTGGGGTCCCAGGCATTGGTCATAACGTGGAGCGTGCCACCCCGAGGAGCTCAGACTAGTGGGGAGACCTACAGCAAAGATAAACCACACACGTTAAAGTATGAAAGTTCAAGTTAGTAGGAGATGTGGAAATGAAAAGCCAAGAGTGCTAGAGAGGTTTTATCAAGTTCCCCGCCTGCAAAACCTGTTGAATTAAAGCTGCCACTGAATTCCAGCGTGGAAAACGCAGGAACGCATTCTCTCAAGAGAAAAATGTGGGCTGGGGAGGAAGGGTCAATAGGACTGGCCTGCTGAGAGCTGGAGCCTGCAAGTTCCTGTGATGGTTTTTGTCAACATAAGCGAAACTCATCTGGAAAGAGGGAACCTCGATGGTAAAAATGCCATCAAGACTTACCTGGCGACCAGGGTGTGAGGGCGTTTACTTGTTTAAGATTGATGTGGGAAAGCCCAGCCCATTGTGGGCGGTTCCACCACGCCCCTTCTAACTTCCCCTACCTGTTAGATGGTCCTGGGTTGTATAAGCTGAGCAAGCCCTGGAGAACAAGCCAGGAAGCTGCAGTCCTCCATGCCCTCTGCTTCAGCTCCTGCCTGGATTTCCATCATGAATGGACTGCAGTGTGGAAGCATAACCCACATAAAGGCTTCCCTCCGTGTTGCTTTGGTCATGGCGTTTGACACAGTGGTTCCTTAACCTTGTCGCTGTTCTAAACTGGGATTTCCTGAATGGGTTTGTGGAATGCAGCCACCAGAGCTGTTAAGGACAGCAGCAGGTGGACCAGCGGGGAAGATGTCTTGTAAAGAGGGGAAGATGATGTCTTGCAAAGAGGCTAGGCTCCTCAGGACTGAACTTGGATGTCTGTCTCTGAGCAAGCATGACCCCTCCCCCTTAGTCCGATTTCCTCTGACGTGTAAGTAAACTCACACCGCCTGCTCTCTAAGTTGAGGACTGGTTCAGTCCTTCTTTCTGAAACACTTGCCTCATGCCTTTTCCTTGGCTTAGGGCCAAGAAAAGCCAAAACGTAAGGGCTGCTCTTCTGGAACTGTGCAAGCTTGGCCATGTGGCCATGCTGACCCTGAGCCACGTGAGGAAAGCTGTCTTGTTTCTGTCTGGAACAGGTTTTCTGCAAGCTCTTCCTGGTCCTGCTAGCCCCAAGAGTCCCAGAATACATGCTCCCACTCTTTCCCAGGTGGCTCTCAGCTCTTGGTGTCGCTCTCTAAAATCAGCCAGAAGACTCCCCAGCAGCAGCATCTCTGCTGGTCTCTGGCTGAGGACCCCTCAGAAATTCAGACCAGTACAGGGAATACTCTGCACTTCCAGAAACACCTGTCAGCCACTTGGTATTTACATATGTGTGTATTTATATTTCCTTTTTTTTTAGGTTATAATATAATTACATCATTTCCCCCTTCCTTTTTTTCCCCTCCAAACTCTCCCATATACCTCTCCTTGCTGTCTTTCAAATTCATGGCCTCTCTCTTCATTAATTGTTGTTACATACATACATATATGTATATATATATATATACATATATGTATGTATGTAACAACAATTAATATAGTAATACATACACATATGTATGTAACGATTAATAAAGAAAGAGGCTTAGGCTTGGTATATTTTATGCCTTGAATGATTCTGATGTCTTCTGTGGTCTTGTCCACACTATTGATATAGACTTGGGATTTTTCTCTAAGAGAACAGAATGGGGAGCACCGTTAAGGGAGGAGCCTGGCAGTATTGTAGGGCTGTGGTCAATAGAGGATTGTTAGTAGGGTGTTGGAGGGAGAGGAAAAAGAGCAGCTATGGTGCATCCCCTCTGTTCCCCTCACAAGCCATGGCAGTATGATGGCCAAGAGGGGAAGAGAGGCTTCAATGTGGTGGCCGTAGACCTCTGACTTGCCAGCTTTGCAACTGATCTGAAGAGGTCACTTGTCCTCTGAGTGGTGAGGAATGTGCAGGCTCTTGGCATATAGTTCTGCTCTGAAGAAATACCCATCCCCTCCCCGTTCCTTCTCCAAATAAACTAAAACAAGAGTAATAGTGCCTGCTCTAGAGGCCACTGAGATCTTGAGTACCCAGAATACTTGGCATCGTATCCAGCATGTAGGAAGTTACTGTGCTACTGGTATTGCCCATTCCTTATCTTGGCAGACACTGGTGAAGTGGGGGAGGGAAGTGTGGTGTGGAGATGAGGAGCTGGGCAGGGTGATTAGTGGAGGGGGGGTGAGTTATCTGTGGTAGTGGTTTCCCCAGAAAGCACCAGCTTCCAAATGAGAGGAATGTTTTACGTGATAGTGGACCTCTATCCAGCCCCACTTTCAAAAGGCCCAAGAGTCTGAGAAAACTTGGGCCAGAGAAAACGGAAGAAAAAAAATGGAGAAATTAGTCAAAGGGGCTAAAAGTGCCCTTCAGGGCTTGTCTTTAACTCATGACCAGATGAGTCCCATGCAGGGGGGCTGCTGTTGCCCTAAGTGACCTCTGTTATCTTTATGACTAATGAAGGTCACAGATAAGTGGCCCCAGTTCAGAATCAGGCCTGTCTGGTAGCAGAGGCACTTTAGACAACCAGGCCATGTGTATGAAGTGCAATCAGCCTCATGTGTATTTTTCTTATTACTGGAAACACTTGACTATGGGCTTTTTTTTTTTTTCTTTTTAAGATTATAATATAATTCCATCATCTCTCCCTTCCCTTCCCTCCCTCAAAGCCCTCCCATATACCCCTCGCTCTTTTTCAAATTCATGGCCTCTTTTTTCATTAATTGCAGTTACATGCATATATGTATATACATATATATTCCTAAATATAACCTGCTCAGTCTGTATAATGTTACTCATAAAGGAAAAATAAAACCTACAAAATCATAATTTATGTGCCTTTTGAGTGCAGGTGTTTTATCATCTAGATAAATCTTCCATGCATCTATGTTAAAGCACTTTGGGCTGTCAGAGCTCTTAAATAAAGTGCCTTGTCCTGACCAGTGTCTGTCTGTGATCATTTATCATTGCTCCGTAGTAAAGATGGACAGATCCCATTTCACAGGGCAGGCCTCGGGCCAGCAGCTCCTACCCCATATATTAGCCATGCAGCCCCTGAGTGGAATGGTGTTTAACAAGTCACAGTGGACTCCACCTTCCCTCCTAGGTGGGGATTTTTCTTTCTTTTTTCCTCTGTGGGGACTGCACCCATGATCTCATTCATCCTAGGCCAGGGCTCTTCCACTGAGCTGCATCTCCAGCCTCAGATCGCTAGGCATTCCATGTCTTGTGTGCATGTGGGAACACACTGTGAGGACATCTTAAGTTCTTCGGGGTGATGGGTTTGAGGGTAAATGTGCCCGGCTTGAAGGTGCTTGCATCTTCTGGAAGCCATAACTGTCTGATCTTGCCATCCAGGTGTGCCAAATCTGGGCCTGGCCTCTTGCTGAGGGAAGTCTATCCTGCTCTCTGCTGCCCTGCCTCTGGCCACAGCTCCCCCTGAAATCTTGATTCCTAGGCAGCTGTAGAGGCACAGCTGTGGCAGCTGAGCCTTCCTCAGTCATGTCTGACTTCGTGGTAATGGACACCTGTCTGCTGGCCCCAGGGCTGCCTCTGCTGGCTGGAGTTCTTCCACAGCCGTGGGACCAAATGTTCCCAGGACCCAGCGCTGCACCCGGCCCATTGTCCTGCCCCCCTCTATCCTTTCCTTACACTGAAGCCTCAGCCAGTGTCCTAGGGATTTGAGTGGGGACTCAGCAATGGTGCTCTTGACTCTCATGAAGCCTGAACACAGGAGTCAGATTTAGTAAAGACGACACGGGCAGGTAAGCAGACACACCGCAGCGAATCTTCAAGGTGGTTATCAGTGGAGCACGAGAGGCCCGGTGTCCCAGGACAGCATGTCAAAGTGGGTCAGCAAACACTGTTGGCTGGAAGCTTATACTCACATCATCACATACCTTCCAAGACTACTGCAGGACTTTTTTTGTATAAATTCTGGTGAGCAGTGATTTATGAACTTACCGAGAATGTATGTACGCTTTTAAAATGGTGGGCCTCCAGCTTCCAAGTAAAAGAATAGGTCTCATGTTCACTGCTGGTGTTTACCCAGTTCCTGGTCACATGTCGTCTCCTTATAAACCCCAGGTGTCATTACTCTCCATCTTAGGCTCCGTCAAGGCAGCAAATGGCACTGGCTCCCCTAAGGGCATATCTGGTGAGGTGGGTGCTGGAGCCCTCTTCCCTTTGAGGGACAGAATGCCCAGAGAGCTCTTTTTATCCTAGGCCCAGGCCTACCGGGCTAAAGGTCCACATAGATGTTAGCATATGGCGGCCAGTGGCCTGTCATCTCAGAGGAGGTAAGGGCAACAGTACCTGCTGCTGACCCCCAGGGTGGGCCTTGTCTGTCTGCACCTGTGTGAGCTGGCTAAGCTAGTGGTGTCAGGGTGAGCCTGGCCTTCCTAGAGTGGTCACTCGTAAGGGACAGCTTACTTCAACTGGTAAGCTGGGATGCAAATGCCTGTGGAAAACATTATCTCTCTGTGCGCGAATGTTATTAGACTAACATAATTTGCTTGTCCAGGAATGTTGACAAGTGGAAACCGTATTTAAAGAGCTGAGCTTCTTGTTTCCCCAGAGCAAAGGACAGAGGCATGGGAGGCCCCTGGCACCTCCTGGTGGGGAGTATTTGACTGCCACCCAGGCCAGTGGGGAAGGGCTGGATTCCCAGGGCACAGTTTTAATAGGATTGTAATTGTGTGGCTCGTGGCCATAGAG